TTGGTCGGCACAAGACTCCTCTCTTTATTTCTTTTCTCTTCTCCACACTCTGCCTCCCTGCAGCTGGCCACCAGTCCTCTGAACAAAAAAAATGAGTAAAAGGAGCGGTACCTCACCCTGACTCCGCCTCCTCGAAGACTCCACCCACATCGTCCACAATGGGAGGGAAGGACGTTGCTTTATGGCCATGGCACTACAATAAAATGTGAAGTTGAACAGTTTAGTTCGGTTTAAAAAGTTTACTTCTGTCTTTATTGTACCGTTGCTACAGTGCGTAGATTGTCACTGTTTTGCCCTTTGATACAACAGCGAATATTTTAAAGTCAACTTCATTCTTTCATTTGAAGGGACACTGACTGACACCGATTAAAAAATACTTTCGATTTCTTAAAGCACGGTATACAAAATGTGTACAGCACCACATATATGTATTGCAGCCTGTTTAAGTGTGTTTTATGTTCTATTTCTTGTAGTGACTACAGTGAAATCGAGCGCTAACAGCCATTTCTTTCACCTGTATGACGATCGACCACACCTTATGATTACAACACGAAACCAGACCAAAGAATGAGTCACAGCAGTCGGGAAGCGATACTCACTCAGTTGACAAATACTCTGATAATGTTGATTATGTGTGTCCGCGTCATGCGCATTTGACATAGTGGAGTTCTCATCATTATTTTAAGCTCTATGTGGGAAGTGGCAGAAAGAGAAGCGAGACTACATCAGAATGAATACATGTTCAGTAGAAAGAGGTTTTGAAATCAGAAGCTAAAATTCTATTTTGAGTTTTTAAATGCTTAATTTTTTTTTTGAAATTAAAAATCTCAGCAGTGACGAAACTCAGTGAAGATGTACTATACACTAATGTTTTCATATCTATCCACCTTATCTACCCTCATGAACATGATGAGGAGAAGAGGAAGCGCTCCCCCCCTCCCCCCCAAACCAACCAACCAACCAACCAACCAACCAACAAACCAACCAAAACGTAGGTCACATTTACCTCATTGCAATGTTGTTCTTTTTAAGAATCCATCTGTACAAGGTAAATTATAATATCTACAGTACAGATAGTATGCATTTACAATAAAAATTTGAAGAGGTATCTGAAAATAAAACAAAGTGGGAAAAATAATAATGTTCTGAGCTCCATATACTCAAAAATTTACAAAAGGAAATAGTGAGTGACAAAAATAAAGACATCATTAATTGGTGTGGAGCAGACATAACAATATTTATTTTTTCATGACAAGCATCCAAAATGTTTTAGCAAAAATTAAGAATTTAAACGACTTAATGAATTTAGACATTTAACCTCAAGGAATCAACTCCACTGATAATCAAATACAGCTCTAAAAGCCTGTTTCCCTGTTTACTGTCATACCAATTGTCTAATCAGGCAAAAACTTTCCAGTCCTCTGGGCTACTAAGGTTTAAAGTATTTTTTTTTTTTTTTGCCCAGGTTATCTTGAAATCTCTGCCTGACTGTCTGTCTCTGTATTTGTTTGTTGTGCTGTGCATGTCCTCCTACACAATCAGGAACTGAGCAGCCAAACTCGACATATCTTAGGTCGTATTTATAAGAGATATTGTGGGTCATTGTGATGTGTTGCCCAGCACATCCACCACATAGTATTTGGCTAAATGTAACCATTTTTAATGTGTTTATTTATTTATTTTTTGCATTTATGCATGTCCAAGCCTAATAGAAGCACTGTATTGCTTTAATTTCACGGCCAGAAGCGCAAACAAGCCAACAATCCTGTAGGATGATCATGTGCTTGTGTATATATAAATGTAAATAATGGGAAAATGAGATTTCTGGTGAATACATATTAAAAACAATGCAGCACACTGGCTATGAGCAGACGCTCCTCTAACTGTCGATATGATACGCTCAGACTGGATGGACTCATAGAGGTCAGGCTGAGTTCTCAGTCCTGCCTCGGGCTGTATTGTCATGGCTCTCCCTTATGTGGCCACCGTGACAGTTATCATCTGTGCCTCCAACAAAGAAAGAGACAGCAGCAGAGGGAGATCAGGCCACTGCTGATTATATAGGCCATTATATTTGTCGGAGTGAATGTGAGGGCCGACAGTCCACTCTTTAAAAATAGCTTCAGGCCCAATTGACACTCTTGGCTTTTCACGAGCTGCTCGGGGGGCTTGATGAGTATGAGATTGCTCAGTGAATGGAACAGTGACTTCAACTTGCTGTCTGATTCTGGATTTTACTGTCACAAGTATGACTTTAACTTTTATTTTGCAAGCCTTTAACTTTGGCTTTCTAAGATATCCCTGGATGTTGGACATGGGGGCTGCAGTGACATGAATGGTGCCTTTGTCTAGAACACAGCAGGCTCTTTATTTTGAAAATTAGCCAGGAATTAAAAGAGTGGGATCCATGTGGGACTGCAGCTCATGCTGTGTCTGTCAAAACACTTTTGTTTTAGCACTGATCCAACTTTCAGCTTTTGATGCCTTTTCTTTTGTAATGCTTTCCTGTAGAAACAATAAAGAGGCTGTGCGGTTACACTCAGTAAGCTCACGTGTTTGCTTCTGTAATGTGACACAGGTGATATAAAATGCCCCACATAATGCCAGACACAGCCCACTAAATATGTTTCCTTTTTTAACATTGCGTACACACAGGTCAAAGAATCGTCTGCAGTTATGTCTGTCGTCTTGGCCCCAGACTTACCCAGTAACCTCCTACCAAACATATCATGAATCAGACTACACAGCCAAGTCTGTCTTTCATTTCAAGGGCAAAACACAGTGATATGATGTCTCTGCTTTACAATACTCGCCTGTTTCACAGCCCACAGGAAATGGGCCTATTGTCCTCGGGAGAGGAAGTGGCCTGGCGCAGACCACAAACTGACGGCACTGATGGAGACTGTGGTAAATTATTAATCATCTCTAACAAATGGAAGACGCTCACTCAAGTGGTGGCTGTCCACTTAGAAAAGTTATGGAGCAAAGGCATAGTAGAGTATTGTCAGAGATGTCCCAGTACTTTGAGTATAAAATACAATTTTAGTGTTAGAAAACTGTAAAAGTTAATGTAACAAATGTCGTCAGAAAGCTTCTTAGGAGGTTGAGTTTTAAAAATATCATTTTACAAAATAACTCACACTCAACGCTGGCTCACGTACTCCCCTTTTATGAAGCCTAATGACAAATGCTTACTCACTTAGCAACATAGACAAGGATCACTTGTCTATTTTGTCTTAAACAAAATAACTCCATTCAGAAACTTAGCTGGTATTGCAAATCTGCCAGAATCTTCCAGCTAAGTTATAAATCCGTCTAAAATTGGGAGCTGTTTCACCTCAAACAAAAGTTAACTCATAAGTAACTGAACACTGAATAAACCGACAATCTTTTGGCAGATTCAGTGTGTCACCACTAGAGGTAGACAGAGACTCAGACAATCGGCATCGGTCATGTGATCACATCCACTCCGTGTTCGCTTTCAGGGTTAAAATAGGTCGGCATTTGCTCACATGTTGGAGTTGGCTTGGCAAGACGTAGATAAAATAACGGAGGCAGCTTAAAATAACATATAGCTGCTACAGACATCCCTTCCATAACAACAACACGACAGCTATCAGACAGAGAGAGGTTGCTGTCGCTAATAGAGGTGGTTACGCAGGAGACATGCAAATCAAAAAAATCTGAAATGTGTTTATTCCAAGTGTCAAATAAATGCTAAAATGTATTTACCTATTAGAGGAGCATCTCGTTGCATTCACAGCTATTTGTAATCTAATTCAACAGTGAAAGTTTGTTATCTGTCTGTCACACCCTGTGGAAGCTCAGACAGCGTCAGATAGGATGCCTAAAAATATCCACAGGGTGTGATGATGTGATTTCTCTGGCTTGAAATACTTTTCATGTGACGAGTTGCTTCGACAGAACCAATTTGCACATGCTATCCTGTCATTTAAAAGATGCAAAAGATGACACCAGGGGAAATGAAAGTGTTTGGATGTTTCTCTGGGGTTGAATGGTCAACAAAATACTATAGGCTTTTATTTTTACTGTAGGATGTGATTGAGTTATTATTTTTTCTTGTTTTTTAACACTTCTCTGTGCACAATTTTATACTGATTTGATACCATGTAAACAGGGCCAATATTGACGATACCAATACACATACCGATACCTTTAACTGAAAAAAGCAGCTTAGGCAGAGCAGTGTTCCCTGATTTATGAGATAAATCATCATTAGTGTTGAACACGTTTTATTGACCACTAAATAATTGCAGTTTACTGTGATTACTGTGATTGCATTTTCTTTCGATAATAATTAGTTAACACAGCAAAACACACCTTTCAGCTTGTCATGTATTCTGAAACTGGTGTTTTTGTGAGTGTAGGCTATACCAGTCTGTATCAGTCTCTAAAGCTTCTATTTGAATGTGCTATAGGCTACAAATAAAATACACCTGACAGTCAATACAAAAAGGTCCAGATATTTTTCATATTTGAGGTATATATATATATATATTATATTTACATATTTTTTCCAATTCCAAAATAAAAGCATTTATTTAACAGATTATAAGGAGCTAAATACTGAACTTAGAGGGTGGAAACAAAGTATTGATCCTTTTGTGCAAGTATTGATCTAATACTGATACAAGTGTTAGTATGGATACTAAGATATTTGGATTGATCCGCCCATTTCTACCCCACAGACTGTTTTTGCAATTTCAAGGAAACTGATCTGGGTTCACTCCAAATGTGTTCTTCTTTTGCCGACCTTGCACTTCTCCAAATTTCATGAAATTTAGCCTGGTGTAATTTTGCAGATAATCACACAAACGAACAGACATGCAAATAGACATACAGACCCCAAAACAAATCAATGAATTGATCAACAGCGTGTAAAATTTCTAAGTTTTTTTTTTTTTTTTAAATTGGGAATGTAGCGCGTCATTGGAAAAACTACATGTCCCATGATGCCTCACTCTCAAGCTGACCAAAGGGAACGACCAGCCGTTCAGCTGAGCCTCAAGTTTGCTGAGGGAAACTTCAGCGCCGACCACGACCTTGAACAGATACACATGAAATAAACACGTAAGTTTAACTTATTTCTTTTTCTTCACCATCTCGCTGACATTTCGCACACACTTTTGTCACTCACGTGTCGCCTCGGTGTTTGTTTCTGCACTGTCCAAAGGTGGCGAAAGGATATTTCCGTAACACTGCGGGAGGGTGGGCGACTCCTCTGTGGGTGGATGTGTTGATGCTGCGGTGTTCATGGTGTCATGTTTTTAATCTTTTAATAATCTGAATAACTTAAAATATGAGTTTAGTGACACTTTGGTCAAACCTAAATAAAACTGAGAGTAATAAATAAATAAACTACTGACATCCATGACTTCCAGCTTGACTTCTCTGGGGTTCTGATATTTATGTTATCCATAATAATGACTATAGGTGACAGGATTACTGGTCAACTGTTAGCCCATTAAGACATTAGGATAATTAGTAGTTTTCTTACTATATAAAATGGGGGTTTTGCTCCTTTCAGTACAATAGCCATTTTTTCCTTTATCACCTCCTGTGATATAGCACCTGTGGGCTCAGCAGTCCTTCAGTCTCCCCTTTTTGCAGGATGTAGTCTTGAAGTTAACAATGGCTCCTGTAGGCTTGCACATGATAACATTACTACAGAATCAGGCAGCAGTGAGTCACAGAAGGTGCACCCTGTGTACACACGCAAACCGGTGGGATATGAATGGCACCTTTGTGTACAAAATGCCCTACATTCACTGTGTGCTGCCTGAGATGTGAAGCAGTGACAACACAAAGGCAGAATAATAAACACTGCTAAATCAAGTCCAAACAGAATGAATGCTAAGCCTGTTGTAGCTCAGGAATATGTAACACAACCAAGGGGAAAGAATAATTAACCCGTGTTTTACTGTTCACCTATTATTGAAAAACTTTAACAAAGATATATATTTGAAATGCTAAAATTACTGTTTGGGAGCTATTTCACATGTTTCTTGTTTATTAATTGGAATGAATTGATTACGTTATGCATTTTTACAAACATTAGGCTCTTTCTTAAGTTGTTTTTTTCTCGTGGTTGTTCAGATAAATTGGACTTGGTTTTATAATAGTCTAGTGGAGCTGTGGACACCTCAGGCTATATAGGTAGTCACGCAGGTATAGGACAAACACCAGCTTGACCTCCTCAAGGTACAAGGTAATATATTTAGCGTTTACCAGAGGCAGTAGGAAAAATGATGCTTTGTTCTTTCCTTATTTAAAATAAATAAGCCGGTAAACTTCACAGATTTTGTCTGGTTAGTTGAATCCGTTTGCCTGTGTGTATTTGATTGAGTTTCACTTTAGGGTGGCATTATCAATAATACAGTTTTTAAACTAAGGCTGCTCAAATATGGCAACATTTCTCAAAATTTTGCAGTTATAACTATGATTTTTATTTTTAGGACTAAAATTCCTTTAGTTAAAAAAAATTAATGGATTTACAGAACAGTTCATTGTAAATTCAGAATATAATCTAAATGGTCTGTATTTGTATAGCGCTTTACTTGGTCCTAAGGACCCCAAAGCGCTTTACACAACCAGTCATCCACCCATTCACACACTGGTGATGGCAAGCTACAGTGTAGCCACAGGCGCCCTGGGGCGCACTGACAGAGGCGAGGCTGCCGGACACTGGCGCCACCGGGCCCTCTGACCACCACCAGTAGGCAACGGGTGAAGTGTCTTGCCCAAGGACACAACGACTGAGACTGTCGGAGTCGGGGCTCGAACCGGCAACCTTCCGATTACAAGACGAATGCCCAACTCTTGAGCCACGATCGCCCCATGAACAATAACTTAAAAAGTTTTTAAAAGTTAGGCGACGGTGGTGGGGGAAACAGAGGTGTCTTGTGGGGATTTAGGCTCAGACTAGTCGGAGTTCCTGAACAGAAATGAGAGACCTTCCAAAAGCTGCAGACAACCACTAACAATCAATCCACAAACCTTTTAGGGTTCCACTGGAGTTTCACAGTGAATCCAAAATAGTTTGATCCTCATTATCCTTTTGTCGTAATTGCTAAAATCCAAAGTTGTAACTAAAAAGTAAGCGTGCAGCATTGTGTTTATAATATTTAAGGACTTTTGTTTCTCTTTATAAAATGAAAACGGATAATACTGATCAATAACTGATCAATAATCAAGTAGTCCATCTCATACTGATATGACAGTAGAAAAACTGCTGTTTTTGGGCCACTCATTTCACTTTTAATCTCTACTTATAAGTTTGACTTTATTCATGCTTCTAGTCCCAAATTTGTGAGACTAGGGTGTTTTTCTTCTTTTATTTCTTTCGAGATATTTTTTTTCTTAGAAACTTCTACATGGTGTTAGATTTCAATTTTTATTATCTTAAATGCTACCTAAAGTTCTCATTTTACAGTGTTTTCTTTCCTTCAGTCAGTAAACAAGAATGTTTAAGGTAGACGTTGCTCCTTTAAAAATGTATTCAGCACAGCGAAGGAATTTCTTCCTCCATGCTTTTTGAAGGACATTTTATGTGATCTCATTGAATATTTATTCATTTTCTATGATATCATGACTGTGGCAGTCTTGTTGCTATTTTAGACTAAGTGGAGAAAAAAATGACCAAAACCGTTTAGAAGTGTTTTTTGGAGGCATGGACTTTAATAAAAATCGTTCTTTTTCTGATGTTCTGTCTGAACTGATACACTGTGTTTTGTTCACATGATTAAGTTAAGCCTCATGTAAAAAACAAGTGGAGGCCTGTGTTATCCGGTGAGCTGCACGTTACATTAGTTACTGTACACACACCGCTGCTGATGAGCTATATGTAAACATTTGCTATAATTAACCTTTTACTAGTAATTATTTTCAAACTGTAAGATTAAATCTATGTCCATAGATTAAATTATAAGATAATAAATAATCAATGACTGATCTCTAGCTATAAATCCGTTACCTGCTGTGTTAGGAAACTTGTCATTGTTTCTCCAGCTATACGATTAAATCTAGTTGGGATAATACAGTTAAGGCTAAAGCCTGGATCCCTGTGGTATTTGAATGATGCAAATTATTGTGTACATGAGGAAAAGGGAAGTCCTGTCACGCCTTATCACGATAACCGAAACACGTGGTAACTGACAGACTTGTGTCCTTTCCTTCTTGTAAGTTGCCTTTATCTGCCCTTTGTGGCTCAGGCGCACAGCATAGTAAACCAGCACGCCTTTTGCCTGGATGTCCCTCCTCCTCCTCCCTCTCATTGCTCCTGCAGCCCCACCTCCACCCTGCCTCACTGTTGCTCTCTTTCATACTGACAGGACAGAAGCCGGCCGGTAAACCAGCAGTAGCATGAGAAAGCAAGTCATTTGATCAGGAAACAATAAAGGAACCTTTACCCACTGCACACAAAAAATCAAATGCTAAGAAAACTGCTACAGCAGCACCCCGGTGAGTATTTTTCATGGTTTTATATATTGAGTACTCATGAGCTTGTCTGCTGTTATTAGCATTCTAGCAAGCTGTCCTGTTGTATTTAGTGGGCTGATTAATGTAAGCAGCAAAGAAATGATCTGTTTATTTTCATCCACTCCTGGTACTTGTCAGCATGATTGAAGTTAATAAAAGGATGTTTTGTTTGTATAATAATGTTGCTTTGTGCTTGAAGCAGGACACGATTAACTGCCATAAGCTATCCAAGTCTCTTGATTATTTTATCTTTGCCAATCAGTCTCAGCAGTTCTTAAAACTTCGCTTTAGGTTTGTGTCTTTGTTCTTCTGAAACAGCCCTAAAAATTAGATGTCACACAGTAGTTTCAAGTCCTGTCAGATGTGATGAATGTAAGTGAGACTTCCATTATTTAAAAAAGACATTTGTGTGATGGGTATTAAGGTGTAACATCCATTCAGTGTTAATGACTGAAAAAGTTGGCCTCTATCATTACCCATGATTGCATATTGCAATAGTCTCTTGCTTGTTTAAATTATCAAAGAAGGGATTATTGATTAAGAATAAAACATGCTATCAAATGCACCACATTTTTTCTGAAAATAGCCCAAAAAGTTGTGCAGAGACCTGTTGGCTGCTTGGTTTCTAATACAATGGGTTCTGATACAATGTTTGCAATGCAGCTCACCAAATGTATCACACATTGGATTGGTTCTCAGTTACAAAGGTCCTTCTTCAATGTGTGACTAATCAACTTGCATCATGACGTCTTTCAAAAAATTAGGATTGTTGTAATCCTGCTTTACTGCCTGACTTAGGACTTTGGATAGTCCTTTTACAGACTTTACAGTCTGTATTAATTATTCTGGCCTTGCTTTTTGCTCTTCCAGTAGCGTTTCTGTCTTGAAGGTCATACCAGTCAGTAACAAAACAATCGCTTACTTTTCTACTTACTTTTTTTTATGCAGAATAGTTGTAATTCCTGATCTTAGGTATCGTTGTGGGGACTAACTTGAAGAGCAAAACATTTTTCAGCATCTCCAAACGGCAGATCCTTGTAGTTTTAACGGGCCACATATTGAGTGAACAGAGCAGATTTCCCTTCAGAGAGTGAATGTTTGGTATTTAGGTTTTTGCGACCACTTTCTTTCACTTTGACTTGCTGTCTAGATATAACTCTCCCAGTTGTCAGGGTGACATTCCTGCTCACAGTAAAATCCCCTGTTGTTCCCTGTGTGCCTCTTCTGATGGGATTTCTATTTCATCACCATGTTTATTTATAACAACTCGTTTAGCTCTTAGCTGATGTGGAAATGTAACCTTAAAACCAGCATGATTTTATTTTATTTTTTTACATAAAGTTTATATATATTTAGTTGTTATTATTTAAAGATATTAAGTTGCTGTCCCTCTTTCCTTCACTTTTTGTCATCAGGACTGCTTCTTGAATTCTGTGATTTTTCAGTTGGCAATGCAGACCAAGAAACGTTTTAGGCCGATGCTGGTATTTTCTATAAAGTCGGTTAATTGTTCAATTTGTGGAAAAGTACACATGGAATCTTACAAAGGCTTTGATCGCAATAAAAAGCAGAAAAGGAAATGAAAAAGCAGGCTGGAGTCACTGCAGTTTTTAGAAGTTTTAGGTCAGTAAGATCATTTCATCCAATTCATTATGATTAAGTAATAACCATTGAAAAAAAATATCTTAGATTCTTTAGCATTTCAAGCACTGAAGTGTTCAGACACATAGAAATGCAAACACTGACACGGGCTTACAAAAACCCCACCACAAACAATCAATCAAACAAACAAACAAACAAGTTATGACATGCAACATCAAACCAACATACAATCCTGACACACAATCGATGAAAAAGAGAGAACCTCATAGAGTCCTGTGAAAAACTAAGTCCACCCCATGATTCAGTTGCTTGTAGAGCCATCTTTAACAGCAATAACTTGATGGAACAATACATTTTCTTTTGTCTCTCACAGTGTTGAAGAGGATTTTTGACACACTTTTCTTTACAACATTGATTCGGTTCATTGAGGTTTTTGGGCATTTCCTTATGCGCAGCTCTCTTAGGGTGCTGCCACAGAATTTCAGTTGGATTGAGGTCGGGACATTTGCAACACCTTGATTTCTTTTTTCCTTTTTAATAATTTTGTTGTAGAATTGCTGCTAAGTTTTGGCTCAGTTTCTTGTTGCAAGGCCCAGTTTCAGTCAAGCTGCAGGTGTTGGATAAATGGTATCGTATTTGACTCCAGTATACTTTGGTATACAGAGGAGTTCATGTACATGCTTCACAGCTGGTATGAGGTGCTTTTGCTAATCTGCTGTTTTTTTTGACAAATGTGGTGCTGTTCATTTTAGCCAAACATTTCCTTTTGTCTCATTGTCCAAAGGACCTTGTTCCAGAACTGTTGTAGTTTGTTCAGATGCAACTTGGCAAATGGTAACTGTTCTCCTATGTTCATTTAATAGAGAAGAATTGGTCCTCTGGTAATCATTAAGACACACTTGTTGAGTCTTTTTCTAATTGTACTGTCATGAACTTTAACATTTGATAACTGAGTCCTCTAGAATCAGAGATAGAGCTATGGATTTTTCAATTTCAGTTTATTTGAGCATTGTGCAGTCTGACCTTGGAGAGAATTTGCTGGGACATCCACTCCTTGTGGACGTCTTCCTTATGGAGATGTTAGCAAACACCTGAATGATATAGGCAAGGAACCTGCAAAAACTTCCTTTTTTATAAAGGGGGTCACACTTGCTGATGATCAGTTAAAGAAGTGCATCTGATTTACCCTCAAAATTCCTATAGAAGCCGTGAGGGTGTATAGGTGCAGTTTTTCACATGACTCTGAATAGTGAGGTGTTATCCTATATTTCACTTGAACTTGATACTCTGCCTAGCCCTACTTTCAAATCTGGTGCACTTCAATATTTGTTATGTATTTGCATCGCTACCTGTCTTTTGTCATTATGTAGGCTTTGCATTTACATTGTGCAGATTTGTGGGCGGTAATTTTATATAGATGTGTTATTAATAGTACCATAGATGTAATTTCTCACTGTATTTGTGTTGGTCAAATGATCCGATGACACAAGTCTACCTGACCGTGTTCGTGTGAACTTGAAACTCCCATTTCACAGCATTATCTGCGTCTCCTTTATGACTAATAAACGTGTCCTTTTATGGGAACATGCTAGGTATTGGTTGCTAATGGTTAACCAAACAGTTTGCCCTCCTAATTCATTGCTATGGTGAAGCTCGGTGCTTCAAAATAGCTGACATGTCCAGTAATGATTACGATTACGTGATATTTATGGAATTAGAGTTATCAGACTGACACATTAATTTCATATTAGGAAAAAATAGTTTGTGTGTGATTATGTGAGAAATATTGTCATTGTCATTATTTGTTTTCACTGTTAAAATATAAAATTTCTTCATTAACTTTTAAACTTTGCAGCTCAGACTATAGTAGCTCTGGTGTTTTATTGTTAGGGACTTTTCACTTTTTGTCTTCTGTTTATAAGCATTCTTATATTTTACCTGCCATGTCACAAGTAAAATATTAAATTAAACCATGACTTTCAGTTTGGGTGAGCATGACAGATACTGTAACCTTAGCAGCAGATTACTGCATATGCTGGTAACACGGATGTGCATGTACTTCTCATCAAAGAATATATTGCAGTTGGATTGGACTATAAAAGTCTTGTGATATGTGTGCATGCATATGTGTGTGTGTGTGTGTGACTGAACGGGTTGTAAGTATTGTTTGTTGTCTTAATGGTACCCTTAGCGCATGGACTGATGCACGTCCACTTATCTGTGCTGTAGACGAACTGTTAGGTCATCTTATTCTCCCAGCTGATAAAGTTCAAATATTTAATCAAACCTGACGTTTGAATCTTGACTTTTTAACAGATCATTGATGTCAGAATGATTCATGAAAATCGATGAAGCTTTTAAATAACGTACAACTTAAAAACGTGATTAAAGTTGTGATGCTAGCTTTATGATATCACAAGGTCACAGTATAGGAAGTAAAACATGAAAAACATTTTTTATAATACACTGCCTCTTGACTCATCCTCTTATGACACATGTTTTTATTATTTTTATTTAAAGCTTCTTTCAGTTTCTCTTTTATTCTCTCTCTCTCTGCTTTTATTAACTCTGTTGTCTTTGGACACCACATTGCCCTGAAAGCTTTGCAAGCAAACAGCTACTTGTGTATCTTGTTTGAGTGATAAAACTATGTTTTTGTTTTCCTCCTTTGCTCTTAACCATATTTGTCCCATGTTTATCTGTTCTTACAAAGTGCAGTTAAATGGAGAAAACCTGTATTAAATATCATCTTTTCCCTTTTAAAACGGCAAAAATCCTTCGAAAAACACTCAGAAAGGTTATTTGTGTCCTTGTGAGATCCAAAGCTAACTCCATTATGTTAGAACCAGTTTTGTCCTTTAATATTTACTTATTAAATTTTTTTCAGTGAGGTTTCTAACTTCATGAAATGGTACATAAAATAATACTCATGATAAGAAGCCAAATTTGGCTCAAATCATCTCAAAGTTTACCCAGTGGCAGCTGTTGGTAACACTTTGTATGGCTCTTGAGCTGTAATATAACAGCATAGATCAAAAAAGGAGCATCTCTCTTCAATATGAACATCTGTGTAAGTAATAGGGGAGACTGCTGGTTAAAACGGCTCTAAACCATCAAACATATACCAAGATTGCTCTGAGCAAACACTTAAAAAACACTAACAAAGTGTTTGGTGTGTGTGTATTTTTTCAGTGTGGCCTCCCTAAAGTGCTTTGAGGACATCTGATCTAAATGCTAACGAAAGGTGCTTCATTTTATTTTATTGGAGCATTCTTTGTGAAAGGAAAGGATGTTTAAGTGCAGTCAGACTGATCCCTGCTGTTGTGTGTCCCTGTATGAACTGTACTTTACATCTTTCCCTGGTCACATGTGAACTTGCTAAAGTATTTGCACACTTCTGTTTGTTTCTTTGGCAAAGATAAAATCCTCTCACAAACGAAGTGGTGTGTAGCTTTATTCCCTAATCAGCTCAAATCTTTGATTACTGAGAGAACAATTTCCCCACAAAATGCCTCACATTGTTTTATTTACAGAGTTCAGTCAAATTAGGAAGAGTTATTTTATTTTGCACAAAACAATACAAAATATTAAAATGTACAAAAATGTATACTTATAACTATTATTCTTAAAATATTATTCCAAACTTATATATATGTTAAAGAAGATGAGTTCTTAGGGTCA